CGCCAAGGCTGCGTCCTGTCCCGTATCCTGTTTGTGTTGTACATGGATAGAATAGTCAGGAGCTGCCAAGTCGATGAGGGTATCGGCATAGGAGATGTGAAGTCGAGAAGGTTGCCTTTTGCAGACAACCTTGTTTTATCTTCTGAAACTGATTTCCAGTGCTCCTTACAAAGGTTCGTAACCGAGTGCGACGTGACCGGCATGCGTGTGAACCCATCTAAAACGAAAAACCTAGTGCTTTTTCGTTCTCCTGCCCGTTGCTCTCTTCAGATCAATGGAGAGGCAGTGGAACAGGTGGAGAAGTTTATATACCTCGGAATCATATTAAGTAGTGATGAAAAATTGGACGAAGAGATCGACCGGAAAATTGGAATAGCTAATGGCGTTCTGCGCGAATTAGCCCGAACCATTGCGACTAAAGCAGAATGTTCTCAGTGTTCAAGTCGATCTTTATCCCCATGTTTACCTACGGTCATGAATCGTGAACCATGACTGAAAGACTTTGATCTCCAGTACAAGAGGTTGAAATGGGGAAATGGGCCTTCTGAGGCATGTCGCTGGCCTCTCGACTTGGTCTGAAGTACAATAATCTGAGGGAGCCTTGCTGCACAGTAGGTATTTCTTCAGATTGATTAGTCACGGCTGCGATTGTGAGGGCATGTGTTCCAAATGCCTCCATATATGAAGGCGAAGCAACTGTTTCTTGTCCAGCCGAAACAGTTGAATGACCAGGGAATGTGCAAGATTATTCTGGTCCAAATATATTGAGGGAGTCTGCTCCAGACTCCTATTAACTTCTTCCGAAGCTCATACTCTGGCACAGAATCAAGAACTTCGAAATCCGTATCTCAGACCTGTAGCTCTAAACCCGAAAGGGGAAGCGCAAATGGGACATGAAGATTAAGATGAAGATGACTACAATACGCCAATTGTAAAGTCATAGTTTGCTCAAATATCGAACTATCAATTTCATCAGCTCATGAGGCAGCAAGTTTGACCCAGACCTGCATATCCAGTAAAAAATCTGGATATATAAATGTGCTACCGCTATTTAGGCAACTGAAAACACTAAAATTGTTATGGACATATTCTTCTTTGGTGGCCGAACGGATAGGAAGTAGCTGATCGAATAGTCGGCCAGAGAGATTGTTCGATGGTGTTTGAATGCGCGGACTAACTTCTTGTCTCGTAACTACTTTACAGTTCTTGGAGCATTTACTTATAGCCTGCTTACTCATATATCGCCACTTCTCTATTCAAATAATTGCTACGGTCTATCCAAAAGGGTCGGTCTGAAACGTCGGCTCAGAATGGCAATACACATTAAGTATAAAACTTACTGACCGGAAAAAGCCTTGGACATGTCAAAAGCATCGTGGAGTATTGGATATGTAATATGGCGAGGATATTAATATGCAAACAGATGTTATAGCAAACCATTTTTCACTTGTGGTAGCCCTTTACCAAGGGGTTTGCATAAGATATTAGTTCGTGCCCTCGCAGCTGCTGAAACAGCTACGCGGAAAGAACGGAACGAACTGCTTTCAAAACAAATGACAGGTTTACGGTTAAAAAGCTGCACCTTCAACCTGACGCAAGTTATTTTATTGAATTCATCATTCTGCATTAAGATTCTGAATAAAGATAATCTAAACGAACACTGGAATTGGCTAAGACATTCGTTCGACCGTGGCACATGAAACACTAGAAAATACGATTCCCAAAATATCATGATTCAAAATCGGCTCTTTCACAGCTTGAAGGTTCAGTTTTGGAATCAGGTCAAAATGATGTTTCCATTCCTATATCAGGCGCGTCATTCAAACCTGTTTCTGATGTTTTCAGTCTCTTCTCAACGTGATGACGTGGCAGTGCGTCAGAGATGGTGCTAAAGACTTCTTTTGCCTTCTATTTAATCGATGTCTACGGAGAGTTCGCATACCTGACTCGAACAGGATAGTTCAGATCGCCCTCATTGCAAAGAAACCTCAACCCCACTGTGAAAATGATTTTCGACCTCTACTCTCGTAGTCGTTTTTGTCATGCTGGAGTGCCTTGATTCACACATAAAGCTGCCTGTCCTTGAAACCGTTTGTCTTGATAAGTACTGATTCGCCTAAAAGCGCAGTCGAAGCACACTTTACGCTTTTTCATGCTTAAAAGATGCGTCATCATCAGTGCGTCGTCAAGTACCTAATAAACAATTTATTCAGAGAACTGATTTTAAAATTTTGGCACTTCTCCAATTGATTCAAGCTTACA